AGCACTCAGATATTATAGTGGCAGGCAATGGTTCAAACCTGGCATATAGGGAGACAGGTAGGTAGATAGTGAGATGTTATTTTTATGGCTTCCTTCTCCCCTCTAAACACTGACCAAACTGGTCCTCCTCAAAAGACCAAGCTCTATTTCTCAAGCAGGTCTTTCTCCAATTAAATATAAATTGGGTACTAGTGAAACCTATTAGCAAACTGAACATCTCTGTGCATCTGCCCAAGGGGCTATAGCCTGAGGTTGCTCTAAAATGGACTGGAATAGCTAGTGCAGAATAAACTACTCTGGATTAGCTCTCCATGTGGACAGCCTATTCTGGCATAAAACTTTTATCCCAGAATAGTTACACTGCTTAGGAACTGGATTTACCCTTCTGTGATAGTTGTTTTTTTGGGGTTTGGGTTTTTTTTCCCTGAACGGTATGCATACGGGGAGATATTCCCACAATAGCTTCTCCAGGCAAGTTCCACGTACAGACAAGGCCTTCCTACAAAGTGGATTTTACTGCATGAATCAGCTCCAAAACACCAAATCTGGGACAATCTGTTGGTTTCTTTGACTACTTCAGTGTTACTAGGAAACTGTGCAGTCACACATATTTAAAACAAAGCTACGCTTGCCTTCTGCTCTTGCCTATTAACATTAACACTATAAGACTATTGAGACTGAACTAATTCATGCAATTTTCAGCTACGTGTTTGTGAGCACTCAGACGCGCACAGTCACATGTGCATGCATGCACACACACACAGTTGAACTTTTGCATGTACTTACTTGTGGCATCCTTTGATGCACGAACAAGGAAAAGAGATCAGTACTTTTGTGCTGCCCTACACACCGCTCCATAAAATTGCAAATGATGTAGTGGAATGTAACAAATCCTAAATAGCATTTTTCTCTCATCTTGTGTTAGTCCTAGGAGTAACTTTTGGATAGTGCAGGCGTAGCGATATTTTTTCAGCAGTACAGCACCCAGGGTAAAATTTCAGACCTATTTTTTGTACGCAGCATCTTGCCTTCCCTCATTCACGAGCAACTGCAAGACTTTGTTGGCACAAACTATCTACTTACAGGAAGTCAAAACTTCAGCTGAAGGTATGTCACAGTAAATATTGTTAGGGCTTCTCTCCCAGGCTACGCACTTTGCATCTTAACAATTGCACCTAATTGTTGGGAGAACACCAGTGGCTTGGAGCTGACGGAGCTTTTCGCATCTTGTGCACATCTCTTTCTGATATTCTTCTGCTTGATTAGTAAACCACTACTGGCAAATGTTATGGACAGCTCTGAGCACCAGCCTCAGCATTACTGGAGGTCTGAATGAATGCAAACGCTATGAGAATTAAAGAAGGGGCAGACTCTCCCAGACCTCTCCTTTCTGGACAGCAGAGGGAAGAGGAGGTAAGGGCGTCCAGCCCCAAACCCCGCAGAAGAACCACTTCCAGAGACTTCCAGAGAGAAGCTTCTTGCTAACAGGAGCCGAGCTCATTTCTGGAATCGGATCAAAATAAATAGCGACGCTTGTCTGAGGCCGGTCCTTCTGCTAAAGGAACGGGCAAAAATAGGGCAAGGTAAAGTTACTGTAGAAAGGGTCTGAGCGCATCAGATCTCATCTGCTTTCTAGCCAAGTACGCTCTGCCACTTTTTCTCCAAGGATGTTTTCAAGGTTGTGCCTACTATCACCTCTGCACGTTCTGCCAAGCTCTAATGAACAGCTTCACAGGATAACGTTATTCTGATGTTGAGAAAAGCACATTTCAATTATCTACTGCGTGTCAAGCCCACGACTGTTTCAAACTACCGGACCACAACAGCACAAATGGCAAGTCCATTACAATCAGGTCCGAATGCCAAGGCCGTTAGGCCTGTAACGAGAGACTAAGGAAGGTGATTGGTACACTATCTGAGAAGTTATTAGCAACTTCTCAGCCATCTGTGTGCACTCAGTTGATCAATATGCATACTGGAAGAATTAAGGCAGAAAGGAGATTCATCAATATGATCGGTGATTGATCATTTACTTTCCCATTAAAACTCTCCACTTTTATTTCCTGACCAAGCCTTCTCATTAGACCTCCGAGCCGTAGGGAAGATGATTAAATGCCAACTATGGTTCAAATCACTAATGCAGGATAGTAACAGATATATTTATGTTCTTTCCAGGAAAATTAATAATACCTGATGTTTCTCTTCTGACTGTAGATGTAGAAACTTGCTACCAAGCACATAAATCATTTATCAGGCTTATGGTATATTTTAAAGGCTCTCAGTAAAAGAGTGATCCAAAAATCACTCTGATTCTGCAGAAACCAGTGTATAAAACTAGAGGACTCCTCTCAATGTATTCAGGTCCTTACTTTTTGATTCACTATTAACATGTAAGATATAGTCAACACTTCAAGAGTGGGAAGAAAAAGGAAGCATTTGCTTTACTAGAGCATCCATCCATTACTAGAGCAAGGCACTAGAATTGCTGGCCTTCATTTCCAGAAGTGATAGACCCATCTGAGATGCCTTCAAGGGGTCCAATTCTCAGAAAATGCTGAGTGCCCACCCTCTGGGTCCCCAGTCTCTCCTAGGTGTCAGCTCAGGCAGACTGAACATCAAGAGTCGCTTTGGAAAGAAATGCCCAGCTCCACCCATGCACAAGAAAACTAAAAATATGCAAATTCAGGTCCCAGGCTTGCCAGTCAAGGAGATGCTGCAAGAGGAAAAAAGCACTTCCCATATTACTGAGACCCGCATTTGCACATTTCTGTCTCAGCTCCAGTTAAGTGAGCATGATGCTAGTCAGGGGACTGATTAAAAGGAAACAACTGCAGGACTGAAATGAAAATGAAACGAAGTACAGCAATATGTTGGACACCCCCCATGGGCTGGCCATGTGTTTGTGCATCCAGTGCACCCTCTGGAAACAGCTTGTCCCCCATGGAAATTTCCAAGCACTTGCTGGCTTGATGAAGATAACAATGAAAACTGTTTGGAAAGGTTTAAGAAAAGGATTTCTGTGCCAACTGCTGCCCGCCGGTTGGCGGGGAGGTAGCATTCAGCACATATTCCTGGACCGAACTCAGAGCTCATTTTAGCTCTCGCTGCTCAAACCTGCCAGCAGGTGCCAAAATCTGAACGTATCCACACAGGATACAAAGTGGTGCGCAAGGCAGGGGACGGAGCAGAGCCTGGGTCTCCACGGCCTCAAAGACATCACTCCTCTTGCATCGTGGTACAACAGAGACCTACATGTGTCTCCAGAGGCTATGGAGAGAGGGCACGTGGCTGGTATGATGCACCCCATTACATCTGCCTACTCCCGTAGCAATACAATGTAGCTGAATCACCGGAACTTTAACCCTAAATTAAACCAAATTAAAGTTTCAAGGTTTTGCTACACTTGTATCCTTACAGGAGTCCTGCCCACTGGGCTGCAGAGACCTCGATGGGAGGACGGCAGGGTGGGGAGCCGCAAGCCTGCACCGGGCAGCCTCCATCCTCCCCACCCCCTGGGCCCGCCCGTGGGGAAGTGGGGTGCCAACCTGGGCTTGGGCACTGCTGGTGGGGCAAGGGGGCAGTGGGTGGGGAGTAAGGGGCACCTGGGGTTGTGGGGGGGCTGCAGGTTGGAAGTGAAGGGCCATGCTGCGGAAAAGGGGTCGTATTGAGGAAACATTTGGGAAGCGCTAGTCTGCATCATGAGATGTGCAGAACCTCACCAAGCTTGATCCTGATTATTAGGGTGGAGAGAAGCGACAGTCACCTAAAAGTGGGATCACCAGCTATTTTAGTGCACGGCTCTCGTCAGCACAGGATCGTCCAAGGGGCTGGACCCCATGATCTCTCAAGGTCCCTTCCAGCCTTCAACTTCGGTGAATTGTCTCCTATTCACCTCTCTTTGCCTCTTGTGCTCATATACAGTATAGCCTCATAAATCTGGATATCAGATATCTGGAATTCTTGAAAATCTGGCACTTTTTAATACTCCACTAGATTGGGAGGTAGTGGCAGCCGGTCCCGGAGCAGCAGGGGGGAAGCTTGCACGTGGCAGCTGCCACCACCATCCACCATCCCATACCACCACTCCAGGACCGGCCGCCACTACCTCTCCCCTCCCCTGGGATCGGCCGCCGCTCTGGTTTAAAAAATCCAGAGTTTTCAAATTTCCGGCAGATGCTCAGTCCCGAGCATGCCAGACTCATGAGGTTATACTGTACCCTTAATTTCCCAAGCTGAGGCATGGGCTATCTTTGGTCAGTCTCTTTTTAACAGATCTGCAAACGGGCTTGAGACTGCCTATTGCTTAACCAAGCTTGTCCCAGCCTGTCGGGCTTTGCTGAGACCATCATGCTTTGCAACACCACAACGGGAAGCTTACCGTCTACGTGCTGAACAGATGGCAACGGAGCATGCTCAGAAGTTATTTTTCCAGTGGCTGACTGCTTTTGGAGATTTTAATTCCCACCTCCCTCCCTAAGGCCAGCCACAAGATAACCCTCCCACAACAATTATGCATATTCCTAGTTTGGAGGGCATCTGTCCTTGGGTATGTTTGAGTTCTCAGTGAAAAACACCCCCACATTCCTTCACCCCCACTATGCCCCATGCATAGACTATTGCTAATTTTCTGACCCCTTCAATCTCCTAAGAAGTCCCCAGAGCTTTCTGACAACTGATACAAGGGAAATTTGAGCCTCCAAAGCCAGTTTGTACAAGTATTTGAAAACAGGACTGACAATGGAAACTGTCAAGTAACCATAACAATCACAAGCTCTCTACCAAAAAGACTGTATGCATATATATCTGATGCATGTGTATAAGTCTATCTATATACGTGTCCACTGCAACCCAAAGAGATGGAAATAATGAATTATATTATAGTAAGATGGGAACCCATTTGGAGAGGACATTTTCTACACCGTACACCCGAAGGCTGTTCGTAGAGAAAGATTTAGGACGGCAAACATTTTTGCATTACTGAAGAGGGATACACGACCTACCTCCTCGCTGCACCAGCAGTGTGACTTCGCTCCCTTTAGGACATTCAATCAGCATATCCACCACCTGGTTGTGAGTGAGGCTCTGCACATTCTTCTTGTTGACTTCAACTATTAGATCCCCTTCTTTTAGGCCCCGGCACCGTGGGCTGTCCACAATTTGTTTCACTCTTTGGCCCCCACCGCCAGGACTGTCTGCTATAGTAAAACCAAAGCCCATGGGCCCTTTCACAATATGCACGGTTATGAGTTCAGGTTGGGTAGCTATAGAAGAAGCCAAAGAGACAGTATCATTGGGGTAACTATGGGATCCATTAGAAGAGACCTCAGTCGGACTGCTTGGCCGTGGCTCCTTTGTGCCGTTTACTTTCCCTGTTTTACTACTGTGGCTTGCTGGAGAATCATAGTTTTCCTGCCCATTTACAATGATGGGCTCTTTATCCAAAATCGCCACAGACGTCACCAGGCTGGTATTTGGGTCGTCGGGGTCAAAGGGCAGAGGGTAACCGCGGCACAGTTCAAGGTCCACACTGGCACCGATTGGAATGGACTGGAAGATTTTAACCACTTGAGCGTGTGTGTGTCCCAGCACACAGGTATCGTTCACGCTGACTATAACGTCTCCTGCGGAGCAAACAGAGACAACAAACAGATGCACACATTCAAGTCATTGCTTTCATGCACCACGCTTTTTTTTTTTTTTTTTTTAAACCCAGCTCTGTTTTCAATGCTGAAAGATTCCTATCTTCAGGGGTGATTCAGTCCAATGGTACCACTCTGCTTTCTCTCTCACAGCATCCTGCTACACATTCAAATGAAAGCTAGACAGAAACCGGCTACAGAGTTGTCACACATTCAAGCACTAACTTCATAGCTGGCTGGCTCTCTTTATAGCTAGACGGACGTTTTGATCGTGTGATAATTACTTTGCCCATGTGGCTGGTCCAAATTTATTGTGTGATTAACCAGTTAATTGTGTGATAATTACTTTGAACTTGTGGTTGGTCTACATTTATTGCGTGGTTAACCAGTTAATTGCATAACATCTGTAATGTGTAGCAGGGCACACGGACTTCTACTGGCATAATCATCGAAGTAGTAATAGCATTTACATACTTCTGCCTGTTAGACAAAGGGACCAAAGTCGTTGTACCCAGGCAAGCGAGAGCTATTTTAGGGCAATCTGCACACAAAAGAATTATTGCATATATACATTTTTTGCCCGCACCGACATTTGTTTTTTGAGCAAAAAAGTGAAACTTGCCTCATTTGAAAAAAAAAATTCAAACACCGTGACAATATATGGCCCATTTAACATTTATTGCAATGCTCAGCGCTGACTGTTATACACTCCACTACAGCTGACATATGACTGAAGCAAAATGAAGATCCTCTGAATAAAACAGAAGGCTTGCAACTACCAACTACACAAACGTGGTGCCGTAGAGCGCGGCTCACACCGACCCCATCCTCCAGCCTGAGTATCGATGAAGTTATGATGTGTTTATGCTGTAGCGGAGAGGCCAGGCTGCTGAAGACAACAGAGCTCCAACCGTGGCTCTCGAGCCGCCTGCCTGGAGAAGAGTTGGTGGCACCTTATCTCCAAGAGTTGGTGGCACCTCGTCGCAGTCGCAGCAAAGGCATTGCCCCTTTGCTGTCCGTGGTGCTGGGCACACACAATGCACGGATAGCAGGAAGGAAAATAAAAAAGGTAGGGGGCCTGAATGCCTCTGCATGGGAAATGCAACAGGAGAGGCAGATAAGAAGAGCTCAGCTAGCCATGCGTCCACAAAATACCACCATCAGATCCATTTTCTTCAGTGCACTAGGGGTAGATCTGTATTGCTGGTTGCTCCTACATCCAAACCTGCCCAACATCTGTACTAAAAGCCCTTTATCTTGCCCTGCCCTGGGCAGTGGCCCAGACCATGCCAGGATGCTGTCCTGAGCACCAGAGCCCCTAGCCCATGTCTCCCCAGCTGCATGGTCAGAGCCCAGGCGAAGGGGTGCAGAGACAGCATCCAACTTCCAGCTCCTGCTTCCTGCAATGCTGCCTGTGATGGGAGCCAAGGATGGGAGACACACAAAGACATGATTCCTAGAAGGCGTTGTGGTCACAGGAGTCAAGCTTTCTATTACTTGTCTCTCCTTTTGTGTTTCCTCCATCCTGTTGTGGATAGGGAAGGGTTGGGAAGAGATGAGAGCGCTCAGACACACCCTGCGTTGTTTCTCAGCACCTTGGGGTGATTATTGCAATGCATCATCAGGCAGCTCCCTGAATTACTGGCTCAAGAAGTGGCTGCTTATGTTCCCAATGTTCAGCATCTCAGTGCCAAGTCCTGAACCAGAGATTTCAGGATCAGTTACGCAAGCTCTGCCAAGGACCTGCTACAAGACCATGAACTATTCGCTCAGCTGTTGCAAGATGGAGCTATAACAAACCTTACCTACCCCAGGATACAAAGAGGCTCTGTAGATGCAAACAGGAGTACTACTTCTTCTTTTTCACCCGAGCACAGTTACCTGTCTCCATTTTGCCATCCAGCGCCGCAGGACCGTCCAGCACCAAACTTTTGATTTGGAGAAATTCGTCCGGTTCATCCCCTCCGACCACCGTGAAGCCGAAACCCCTGCTGCTTTTCCTGAGCTTAGTGTGGATGAACTTCCCTTTCAGTTCAGAAGGATTCCGTGTAAAAAAGGGTTTTCCTGTTTAGAAAGTTTTGAAAGTCCATAAATACACAGGAAAAAAAAAATCTGATCCATTTTAACTCCCCCAAGCTCCTCTAGGAGTTTAATGGGCGCAGAGGTGTGCAGGCACAGACGGGAACAGGACAGTTCTCAATTTTACTCTCGCTAGCTATCCACTCCAGTGACGTCCATCACGGAGTAAAGTGCTATACGTGGGTCAAGGAATGGGCACATGAACAATTTACCGTGGGGTAAAGGTGGGCAAGGCAGAGACTTAGTCCCATGTATATACTCATCCTCCGAATTAAGCGGAGTAACAGTGTGTACCATTTACCAAGCAGCAGCTCAGGGGCAATACAGTTCTCCAGCGCCCCGATAAGCTTTCTGAAAAGATCTTGCTCCTTTTCAGTATCATCCCCAACCCTGCTGCCTATAATGACTAACCACCAAACTGTGAAGGCTGATCATGGTCTTCAGATCATATTTAAAGCATGGGCTTCCCCCACCCTGCAGTCTGCCTGACATGCATGCAACACTGTACTCAGTAGCATGGATCACACGGAAACCACTGGACCAGACTGGTTGTAGTGGAGAAGTGTCACCAGTGGTCTCCAGGAGCCAGCTATGGACCGAAGGCACCCTAGAAGGCAAGTGGTTCTGGGGAGATAGAATAAGAGCATCTAAAAATGCAGCATCTTTGCCCTTGCCACTCATTTTAAGGCACAAACCCAGAAGGGAAGAAAAAGGCTGTGTCATTAAGCTCCCTGGTGACAGCTCCAGGACCGGCAAGACCCTCCAAGTACTGTAACTAGGTTGGTCGATGCTCATTTGCAAACTCCTACAACGTCTGCAGTCTTTGGCTGGCAAAGGCAAGTCTCAAGGGAGCTGCTGGCTCTGTGCGATGCCCGGCCCCCCCGGTGACACAGCTCTGCAGAGAGCATTTCCCATTTGAAAAATGTCAGCAGGGCATGAGGCTCAGGACTCACCTAAAGCCTCTTTGAAATAAAAGAGCCTGGTACCTAGGGATATGGAAGCATTACACTGAGAGCTGCATTTTTGTATCCCAGCTACAGTGTTTTTGGGGAGGTGCATACATTTTAAACGATTCTGTGTATTCAACAGAGGCCATAATTAACACGCTCCACGACAAAGCTGCCAGCCACGCTGCTGACTGGCAGCTTTTGGTTATCCAGGCTTTGTGCTGCACTCCCAGACGTGCAGAGTCTCAAGTGGAGGAGGTGACAATTTGGCTACCCCCACCTCCAAAGAAAAAGCTGTTACGGGAGCGATGCATCCGAGAGAGGGAAGATACAGGTGAGAAACCCTGTCAGGGAGCACCCAGGCAAGCTTCTGCCTTACAAAAGATGGAGGAAGAGGAGGGTGCTCACTTTGCATCACCCCATGAACAGGAAGGGGAACAAATGAGGGGAAGTATTGAGACAACCCCAAACTTATGTTCAGCCACAAGCAGGTAAGAGCTACGTGCAGCTTGAAAGCACACGAGTTGCGGTTCCTGCAGAGTCCGACCCTCCAGATCCCGCTTGCCTGGTCCAGCCCCACACCACTCATCCGGCCCATGGGGGACGAATGCATTTGAACACCCCTGATCTATAGGCTCCAGCTACATAAAGGCACTGCACAGGTCTCCATGGGCTAGAAATGGGCAGAGACTGGCAAAGGGGCTGTGCTGGAGACAGGAATGGAAGATACTTGTTTCAGCATCAAGAACAAGCAACTGGGATTGCTTTGGGAAGGATTCCCTGAGTGAGGCCACACAGGCTGACCCAGCGAGCAGGCAAACAATTGGACCTGTTGTACCAGGTCCAGGACTTCCTATTTTTATCCTGATAAATGTGGGTCATTTATGGGGAGTGTTCAACTCATCATGACAACAACAAAAAAATACAGTGCCTTCTCTTGGATCCAATATTTTCTTACTGCACATGCCGGAGAGAAGGGTTTTGTGGCACGTGATCTGCAGAGCGTGCAAACACTGGCTTTATGCTGCCTGCTTGCCTTCTCCCCACATCGACACAGATTTGCTGCTCACACTTAATTAAAAATCTGTGGCAAAGCAAAAATGCTGCAGTCACTGGAAAGATTTCCAATGACGAATCGTTATACCGAGCACTATAAGGCCTAGAAGTTTGGGCAGTTCTTGCCCTGTTCGTATGATACCTAAAACAGGTGAGATGTTGAGAGAAGGAGAAACTGGTCCTACTGGGCTACATTTTCCCCGATGCTACAAAAGGTCCCGATGGTCCAGCTCTCTTCTGGGTGCTGGAGAGACAGAGTGCTGCAATAACAATTCCCATCTCCCACTGCCCAACCTGGACCTCATCTCAGCTCTTCTTTGCCCTTAGCATGGCCAACGTGGATTACCACCTCTCATAGCCTACAGGGAATTTCTTGGGGTTTTGGCTGCTACGGAAATGGTCTCACTCTCTCCTGAAGGGCTGGCTGCGTAATATCTGCCGCACGCTGCACTTTATCAAGGCAGGTGATGATTTATGGCAATGGCGATGAACCGGCAACCCTGGAGCTCTAGTAAATGGAGGCCTCTCTCTGTGTGAGCAGTGAAGGCAGCTGGTCCCTGAACTTCCTTTACCTGCAGCCAGGAGGAGGGCAATGCACTTGCCCTCCAGAGCAGTCCCCTCTGGCACCCAGCTGCAAACCTCTGCTCCAATGAGTCTCTTAATGCCTAAAGAAAGGTGTTTGCAAACAGCATTTTTTCCCCAGTTGCTTTAATAAAAGATATCACATCTACCCAAAGATCTCTTGGCAAAGCTGCTCTGCATCTACCCGTGCCTAAGAGGCATAAGGGTTTACATGCCTGAGCATCACGTGTGTATGCTCACAGACAGTGTGTGTTCCTGCTGCGCCCGGGGACTGCTCCCCACCCAGGGTCTCGGTGACATTCAATCAGCAGCGTGATATGCACGCCCCTCATGCTGTGCTTGGAGGTTTGCCCTTCCTAGGCCTCCGTTACTGAGACACCCGCAGAGCACCAGCACTCTCCAGCGGAAGCTCAGCACCCCCCGATGGCACCGCACCCCTCAAGAGCCACATTTTGACGGTCTCCACATCACCCCCACCCCAAAATACCCCTGTGGTGGGATGATTTGCACTGCATTTTTGCAACTTTCCTCTGCAAAATCAGAGGAATCCAGAGTGCAAGGGCTTTTCTATCCTTGCCATACTGTTATGGGGTGGGGTGGGGTGGGGTGGGGGGTTTGTAAGGAAGTCTGATGGCAACATTTAAATCATCACAAGGAGAAAAGCCTTGCTGGATGTTACCTTGTACTGGAGCTTCCCGAACGGCCTCCTGGTTGTTTGCAGCGTGGTTTGGAGCAGCTGGGGGTGTGAGAGATGGGTGTTCTTCTGTCCACTCTGGAAAGAGAGCGAGGACAAGAAGTCATTCATTATTTTGTTCGTGGTAACACAGAGAGGGCTCGTTTGGCTGGGCATTGTACATGCATACAATTAAGAGCCAAAGATCTGGCAGTCGAAACAGGTAAGATAAAGATTTAGGAATGGAAACAGAGAGGTGAAGTGAGTAGCTCGAGGTCATGCATCAGAGCTGTCTCTACAGTCGAGGTCTGGGTTGACCTCAAATAGTTTGCATCAGGGTGGAGCAAATATTTACCATGCATCCCATCCGACCTGGCCATACATCTGTTTGTCTTGATGCACAGCAGTAGTACTGATACAGATGGCCAGAGGGTTAGGGCAGGAGTGTTGGAAGGAAGGAATAGGTGCTTCCAGTTCTTCTCCCATCACATAACACACAATTTAAAAGAGGTTACTCTATGTGGCAGGGAAAGCTTTCTGCACACAAAAACTAAAAGTAATGAAACAAAAACAATCCACTTTGGGTGAGTTCAACCCTCTTGAGGAGTGCGGAGGATGGGTGGGAGAGGACAGACACTGAGAAATGGGGCCACGTAGGTCCCACGCGGTCTGAGGCTGTTGCCAATCCCCCTGGCTGCAGCATTTCACTGCCTGAGATTATTTCATTGCAATACGATAGTAAGGTGACATGGTTTTTCAGAATTGAAAAATGTGTCCGAATAATCGAACTGGGCATGGTGTCACCACATGCTTGCAGCACCAAAGGATCCACTATTAATAAAACAGTTAATAGAGGGATTTTCTTGAATGCATACGCAATCTTAGCCCTTTGTCTTCTTCCCTTGCCTTTTTCCATTCCTCCAGACAGATTCAATAACCACGTCTTGATTAAATTCATGATTCAGGCTCTCAAAAGTAGATTTTTACTGTGCCTAAGGAGCCAACAAGCCTTCTCTGTTGCCTGTCAGCCTTTAAGAATGGAAGGGAGAGAAGTACAGGTAAAAAAGAAATTCTCCCAATTTCAGGGACACAAAGCCATTACGTTAAAGCAATCAAATATTTCAGAAGGTCTCTTTTACCTTGTCCTATTCAGCCTTCTGATAAGAGTACCTGGCTCAGTGGTCCTTCGTGTGTCATTAGACCAATCAACCCTCTCTCAAAATTGTGAAGGGTGACAATATCTGTATTTTAATGAAGGACAAGTATGCCCACATGAAAGGATCAATTCAAGGGAGAGGTTGTTCTATTTAGCAAATATTGCACGCATCGCGCTCTCGGCGTGTGCCAACCTTCTGGTGCTGGTTGCTGCTGCTCAAGCTGTTTCTTCCTTTTTGCTTCCAGAACCGGATTCTCATATTGTGTCTTCCTGTTGATGTGGCTGGACAAGGAGGAGAGAAGTAAATTAGGAAACACTTGGAGTGCCAAACCCAGGTGCAAAAGTCCTCTCGACGAACAGCACCAGAGCCTAATAATAATACAACCCTCACAGCAAGGCGTACAGTGCCGTGCCCACCTACTCGTGCCAAAACACTTATTTAGGAAACCCCGTGATCAGAAGCGGGGGCCTAGAGAAGGGATGGCTAATTCTTTCAAATACAATAAAGGAGTAGTTTATCTGTGGAATAATGAGATTAAGGCAGAAAGGATGCCCTGTCTGATTACATGTTAAAAGGCAGACCTACATCATCTCTGCTTTAATCAGATTCCCAGAGGTGCAGTCATTCCCTGACTTGCTGAAGTTAAAAAAAGCTGGTAACATCTGTCAGCTATCTGATCAATGCACAGCCGTAAATGTGGTGGCTATTGGGTATTTGCTGCGATTCAGACTAGACAATGTAGAGCTGAGCAGAATGACCCTGGCGCACAAAATATTTGGAATCGGCCTCCATTAAGTAATCCTGGTTTGAACCAGCATAGGGGGGTCCTCAGATGTCCCTGTAGAGCAGCTTGAAGCTCATTTGGCTGCTTTCATGGTAAAAGCAACCCTCGTGAGACTGCAAATACTTGGTTTTAATTTTTATGAACATAATAGAGCTGTGAAGACACGGTATTTTTAATGAACAGAATAAACTGACCCCAAGGCTGAGCAGAGATGGGCTCTGTTTTCTGCAGATGTCAACCATTTTTTGGAGCCTTAGAAAAAAACTTTGCCAAAACGAAGCTGGTGTGGGACAAGTACGGCAGTCCAGATTCATTCTGGATAATAGGCGCAAGCTGAGATTAACAGCAGAGCCACGTTATCCTCCAACACCCGTTGTTCGAATGCTGGGAAAATGGGCTGCCGAGTTAAGAAAAGCTACGGTGCTTTTGACATGCCAGTCTGCAGGAAGACATGAGCAAACCGTGCAAGGAAAAGGTGGCAAAATAGGCCAGTTTGAAAAGCGGTGAAAAACACATCTCGAGAACTTCAGACGGTCAGTTCTGGGCTGATTTTGATGATAGTCACGTGGCTGATTTCCAAATACTCTCTGCCATGTAGCATCTCTGTGTTTAAAACTTAACCAACCTAAAAATCCTAGCACCCCAAAATAAAAAGCTTATATCCAATTTTTCCAATACCTACTTATGAATCTGGCGTATCACTGGCTTTAAGCGTCTACCTGGAGATAACTGCATTTGGTGGTTAAAATCCATCTTTGCGTCCCAGGCAAAGCTCACCACCGAGAACATGCGTTTCACTGCCCGTCTGAAAGTCCCTGGCACAGCTTTTTTATTAAAAAGAAAGTAATTTGCAGGTAGCTGCAATACATTCGCTATTGAGTTCTGCTCAGAAATCTCTCTGCTTAATTCACAACATGGATATGAAATGCATCTGATGACAGACTGCTGATTTAATTAATCCAGTGAGCAAATGAAAACACATGCATGAATCCTATAAGAGATGGACAATTTTAATGTATCCATAAAAATTGCTTTAGCTTTTTTCATAAAACCGTCGCTTTCTTTTGCACGGGTGGCTTTAATTTAAAGTGTACATGCAAGAAACAGAAACAGATCTATATTGCATTTGTCGAGGCAGATGATAAATATTAAGTCAAATAAACTTATGCCACATGCTGTTGGCTTCTTATTTAATTTAACCGTCAGGAGTGGCCCAGAATTGAGGGGCACGCGGACACAGAGTGGCATGAGAAATGCTCAAGAGGCCTCTTGGCAACATTTAATAGCCGAAAAATATCCTTGATATCTTCGGCGAATAAATGTCAAGCCTTAATTATGCGTCTGCTAACCTCGTTTCCCAAGGCACAGATGGTAGGGTCACAAATGAGCCAAAGCAGACAGAAAGGGTATGCCACATCTACTCTGAGGGCTATCACAAGCCATCCTAACAGACAGGAGTATACACATAATTAAAAATTCATTTTGTGGGGTCAGCGATGAAACAAAACTCGATCTCTGATTTCCCAAAGGAGAGACCTGACATCTAGAGAAAGAAGACGCTGTTGCAGTGCTGGTGACAATTACATTAAACCCGTCATTCTTAACGACACAGTGCAGGTTCCTGGTTCGCCAAAAAAACACTGTCATGTCTCAATCCTTAAAAATATATATATATTGAATCGGTAATCTGCTGTAGGAGAGCACAGTTTGATCGTATTGCTATGCTGGGGAAAGTGCTCAATTAACCGTTCAATCATTACAGCCCTGATTAAACAGATCTCAGCTAAAATCGCTTGCATCTTCACAAAGGCATCCTTCGTTCCCCAGCTTTTTTAACAAGGGCCTTTAGTAACAGCCAAGTCATTTGCTAAGGAGCCTCGGCCTCTGAGTGTTAAGGCCTGAGGTTTCCAAGCATTCCCGTCACAGCAGGCCTCTTCCTGCAGAGAAACCCACTTGCAGCAAACATTTCGAGCGTGTCCAGCGCTCTTCTCCGGGCGAGGAGGAAGGTCCGAGCCTGAAATGCTCACCCGCATGCACACGCTAGGGGGTGCAGAAGAGCAAGGGATGATGTGCCCTATTTAAGACTGAGCACTTTTAACTGGTCACGTCTTGAGTTTTAGGCTGGTCTGGGATGCTGGTGACTATAAGCTTCCCAAGCCATTAGGGCAGACCCTTTTCTTGTTTCTAGTACTCTCAGTTAGCTCCTGGGTTTTTTCTAGAGGAGTACAAGCATCAGCTTCCCCCAGCACAGAGCCACCGTGCAACTACAGTGACGGTGAAGTGCCCAAACTCCAGTAGAAAAAGCTCTTCCCTATATGTCATGCCAACGAGAAATGCCTGACAGCACTTACTCTACATAGTAGACACCATATACGGGATCTTCGATCTTTTCCCAACCAGCAGGCAGTTCTGGAAACAAAAAAATATTAATATCGTACATGCGTGTTTTTCAGACAGGCATCCTAGTTGCAAGCTGGCTGGCAGAAGTCCACATAAACCCATATTTCACTTATCATACAGCTAATGGGAAAGAGAATGGCCATGGCCATCTTTCTTTCCATCTGGATGAATGTCAGCACATGGTTTACGGAGTATAAATATTAAGGTTTGCTTGTGACAGCAGTAGATCTAACAAACCTGTGGAGAGAGGACAATTGTGGCCAGCTGTCTATTATTTATGAAATATTACTGCCTTTTTTTCTTTAAGGGAATGTCAGTGTGTTTCTGGGGATGTTTTAGTTGGGGGAAAGCATGTTTCTGCTAAGCATTCATGGGAACTGTGAATATATACTATATATTTTATACATTCACTATATTGCAACACTTAGCGTGGCAACCAAATGCCCCAAATGGGACCAGGGTCCCATCCTGCCAGCTGCTGCACAGACAGGAAGGCACCTGAAAAAACAGCACTGATCACCCTAATCAGCTATTTCCATGTTTTAAAATGAGCATAATTGCTGAAAATAGCTCTGTAGATGGAATTAGCCCTTGGAAGCCTATCTACCTACTCTGTGCTGGCATTACTTCTGATCTGGAGGGGTACAGTACTTTAGGCAGAATCAGTGAATGAGAAACAGGCAAAGCAGTTGAGAAAAACTATTAAACGTATGTATTACTCGAGGGCCTGAACTTGTTCCTACGAAAGTCAAACCCAAAGCTCCCACTAGGCTTAGGTCCTGAAGCTATGATCCTTATTAGCAGCAGCAATCATGGGTATTAGGGCGGTGCCCATAATTGTGGTGCCCCTGGTTCATTACGGTGGTGCCCGTCAACCGGGGATGGGACACCAGCGCGGGTAAGCTCTGTACAAAGACAGAATAGATGGGCCTGGCTCTTAAGATCCTACAAAAGTGACATTAAAAAGAGATCCAACCTCTTCTAAGATGCATTCATCTGCAGTCTATTAAAAGACCCTAATGAGAATGAATTCTTTACGAATGCAGCACTTCCTGCTAAAATGACAAAACCAATAGGAAGTAATCTGTGTTTATTCGTTATGGAAAGCAAAGATTTACTTTTATGAACAGCATCAGTTGCTTAGCCAATACAATCAAACAATGGCCCATTAATCAGAATAATGCAACTCTCCAGCTCTGTATTTACAGACGCTGCCATAAGGACAGAAGTAGTTCCAGACTGAAGGCGAACAGAATCCACACAAACACACATGGACTAATTACTCAAAGTTGATGTTTGTGTTAGGAATTGGCTGAACATCAGATGAAATTAATTTCATGGTTTTGGCTCCACATGTCTCTTATTTGCAAATAAAAGGCAGGTTTCCCCTCCGATTCTGGTTTCTTTTTCTGCTTATCATGTTTTAGCATCTTTGGATTCCTTGAGACATAAACATCGAAATGCAAGCCAGTGCTAACTTTTGGCTAAGGAAACACAGGTCTCGTGAGCAGATCTAGTTTGCATGCTTACGAAACGAACGCTCTGGAAATTGGCGTTCCTCTCCAAACCACAAAAGGGGATGTCTACAGTAAAAAGGAAGCTCAAAAACTAAAGGGCCAAGTCCTGGAAGTCTTTAAACAAACTTTAACAAGAACACAATTGAATGGGAGTCCCAGCTGGCGAAAGCACTGCAGGTCTTCCAAAGTTTCTGTGCAGTGAAAGATATGACACAGACAGGAATCAGGACAGGCAAAAGCTGTGGCTGACATTTCAGTCTTCATTTATTCCAATAAAACGAGGAATTACAGGTCTCAGTGTTCACAACGGGGGGTGGGTTCTTGCCCACGTATAACAGTGTGCAATTTGGCCCCTGATGTTTTCACATCTATGTCCTACAATGCTCTGTTCTGTTAAAAACAGGATCGTTTACATTACTACATATTAAACCCTTTGTGTTTATCTTGTCTATACTTCCTTCGATTTAATTTTCTCACATTTAGGAAACAAACGTTAAACTTTAGTTAAATGAACCCGTTGGCATAACTCAATCTGTATTCTTGCTTGAGGGGAGAACTAGCTTCGAAGTTTAGACATTTGCTAACCTCGCTGCAATTGCCTGAACTACTTCAAACTTGAAACTCCTTTCTTGACTTGCAGGCAACTCATGAGCCCCTACAATACATATCTGTCTCTGCTTCCATGATTACTCTCACTGAAATCAAAGTATAGTTAAGAACTGGCTTGAGTAGGAAGAATTCGGACTGTGGTTATCAACTAATGGTTTGCTAGCTAGATGCTTTCTCTCTCCATGACAAGAAACATATATACATTATACCACATATGGAAAGGTTGCCAGCACCCCCTATCTATCTGGCTGACAGGTGCAAAGCAGGAGAGTTGCATTCAGTTATTTTATAAAAAGCATTTTATATTTTATTTATTATATTTTATTATTACTCTATTTAGGTTGCATTGCGGTACTGCACTAAAAGAAATGCAGCCCTTAAGGTTACCCGAGTCACACTAGCCACAAGAACAGTATTTTATATAGTTTTTGCAATCCAGTCAATAGTTATTGACTGCTTTGGGCATATCCATCACATAGAAGTGGGATGCAGTCTAACTTTCAAGTCATTAAGGAAATCAGAGATTAATTCCACTGTAAGGTAGTCCTCTGGCATAGAAAACAATGAACTATAACTGCAATTTATAGCCCGAACAGAGCCAGGGAAAATAAAATCATGTGCAGCCTATTTATGCCTTTTAGCTTCTGAAGCAGACTAGGGCTTGCTAAACAGAAATAACCACAGTCTAACCTTTCTCTACGCCAGAAGCAGAGACTCAGGTCGCACAGCTAAAGGAGATTGGATATTAAGATAGCATTCTTCAAAACTATGCAGGAAATATCACACCACCAGAGCATCTGAAAAGAGCTAATTTGTAAAATGAATGGCTGAGGCAAAAACTCCTGCTGTTATATTTATAAGCTTAGCAAATGCATTTGGGGAGATATTTTTAGCCACTGTTCGAAATTTCACTATTTTCCCTAAGCAGAGAAATGTCTCGGGCTCTGATCCTGCCTAGATGTCCTTATGGGCTGAACCTTAACTTTGAAGTCAATAGGTCTGGATTTAGAGGTGAAATCCTAACTCCACCGAAGCCAATGGCAACCTCCCCTCCCGTCTGCGACTCGACAGGGTCCGGATTTAAACCACTCTGCAGAAAGCTAAAGACGCTCTTAAGCCTTTTCAAGATTGAAGCCTTTTTCCATCTCTCCTCTTCAGCACCCAGTTCATGAGAGACGTGCTTTAGTTTCCATGCCATAGAGAGGGGGAAAAAAGCACCTCCTTCCAAGTGCCAGAAAAGTTTTGTTTCTGATTGAGGCCTTGATGACATTAAAAGGGAAAAAAAAAAAAAAACTTCAAAAAAAACCAACCTGAAAGATGCAAAATGACAGAAAGGAGAAAGCTAAGCAATTGAAGGCTGAAACAAGTGCAGTTGAAGTCAAACAGCAAAATGAGAGATGGATGATTTACCTAGTTCACTGTCCAGTTCCTCCGTGTGTACCCCTTCTTCTCCAAGGGAACAGCAGTAAACGAGACAGAAAACATTAAAAGAAAATTTCAGATACCAGCACCAAGCAAGAAACCCCCTCCAGCCAACAGCAGAACCAACACCAATTTCGAACAGGACTAGGCCGAGCTTTTGCTTTATCACATCTTAGTGACCAGAATATTTACGGACTTGGATGCGAACCATAAATACAGTTCCTCCACCGTCATAATCATCGTGTCGACCAGTTTACTTTCACAACACAACGGGATGTGATAAAGTGATGTTTTGTTGCAAAGCCATCCTCTCAGACGTATATGTTAGCATATCTACCGAAAAGCCAAAGTTGAGTATTAATGTACAGATCTGAGAGGAAGGCTTTACCCTTAAACTGGAAGTAACTTAGGGACATGAGGTTAAAGTGAATTGGAGATTTGGACCCCAACTCTGCAAAACAAAAGTACCGGCCCCCGGCGTGGAACGTCACTATTTTCAATGGGAAACCACTGGATGGTGCGGCGTTACGAGATCTTTACGGATCCGGTTTCAAATGTGCAAGCCATCAATATTCAGCATTGCTGTGTTTATCATTAGCGGCTCCATTTTCATCAGTTAACAATGACACAGTTGATTAAGGTATCACTTAGCTTATCAATGCTAATGCAGTCAGGAAATGAAAGGTGGAGACAAAACTAGAATGCGGATGGCAAAACAAACTTGGACTTCATACAGAAAAGCGTAAGCCATGTTAATGAATGGTACAAACAGAAAATACAGGACCAGAAAATTGCTGTTGAATTTTTTGACACTTAAGAAATATTTGACGTGGTCTAATTTACCCATGAACTGTTCGCATTCGAGTACATCAGAGCTATTGTCTGGAAATTGCAGTGTGAAAGGCTAATTGGCAATTTCTTTGTATAGTGTAGTCAACAGAAAACTACTGATGACTTCCAGGGACTGGGACCCCGGCATGGAGAGGATGCAAGGCACGTGCATCCGAAACAAGCTGGACAAGATGTCTAACACCAAAACATTTATTGTACTGAACACATCATGGAACCAGGCCTACACACACACACAACTTCAGATGGGAGTAGTCACATATAAACACACAAACACACATACAGCTTCAAACGGGAGTAGTCTTACAGGGTGTTTATACATGTGCTCCAGGAGTGGGGGGAGAGGGAGGTGCTTTAATTAGAGCAGCTCCAAGAGCTGCTTTAATTAAAGCGTCCAGAGCGTCATGTGTATCAGCATCCCCACGCTGAAAAATAGCGGCAAGCTTTAGTTAAAGCATCCCTGCCACCTTTTTTCAGCACGGGGACACTGATACACATGACGCTGAAGTCTGCTGTAGCATGGTAATTACCATGCTCCAGAGGACTCAGTTAGTTGAGCCTACTCTAACACGCCATAATTACAGCACGTCGAAGCAGCCTCACTGCACGTATATAGGCACCCATTGACTTTAGCGTAACTACTTGGACAAATGACATCAAGGTTTAACTGCTTTGGGTTGGAATTTGGTAAATTTGGGTAAAGCGTACACAGAAACAGCTTTGACGATTTTACCCCTTTCGAGGCCTGCCTGCTTCCCCACCCCCCGCAAACTCTACATTTTTTGCGAATTCTCAAGAAATATCAGAACAGCGAACTAAAACTGTGCAGCACACTACATGCACCTGTGAAATGATGAATTTAACGAGTTGCTGTTAAAAAATTCTCATTAGTTAGCAAACAGAAGTGGGAAAGATAAAATTAGCTAAACTTAAGAAGCTGCTGAGCAAAGGCACTGCTACTCATTAAAACTTATTATACGGCTATATTTTTATAATCCCAATTCAGCTATTCAGACAGCAATTTTTAATTGAAGAGAGGATCAGATTTCTCTATATCCAGAAGAAACTAGGGTCCTGAACAGAGATGAAAGGTCCCCTTGACGTGTCGGCTTGTGGCTTGACATAGTATGCAAGTGCAAGTGTCTCATGCTTAGCCACAATGGCACATGTCTCTTGCTAACTTCAACTAGATTACTAGGGGAGCTTGAATCTTGCCGTCAGCAGGAGCTAGGACAGGGGAAATGCTTCTGGGAAAAGCCTGGCTTCAGGCAGAAGCAAGCTGAGGCTGAGATTTATGTTTTGCTGGATTTTTGTTTCGTAGTGTTGCTTTTTAATGTGCTAATAAAGCAAAACTCCAAAAAGAGGGGGAGCTTAGAGAGTACAAGCTGTTCCCTGCAGACCAGGAACTCCCCCTGTATAAAGCTGTGCCACTGATTGCCTGCTGAAATAATTTTTTTTATCCTTATCCCACAAAAGAAACAGCCCAGGGGTAAGGACCTTCTTGCCCAGAGTCCTACAGACAATAGGGCATCTCTGTCTGGTTCAATCCTAGTTTTGCACAATCAGGCACTGGAAAGTAGGGTCCCACATTTCAAAGGGACTACCTAGCAGACACAGACAAACAGTCCGTGCACACTTCCTGTCCATGTTTTGCACGCTCCCTCAAAATCCTGGCATTTTGCACTTGCACGAGTGAGTTGGCTGCCTAGGTATCAAAGAAGAACACATAGTCCACGCTGAGTACGATGTGCAAATTCAGATGGGGGGGGAAAACATTGGAGGTCAAAGAATTGCTCGTGGAAAATGTAGCAGCAGTTTTAGAGGCCACTTTCAAAACTGATCCAAAATGGACAACTTTGTGCTCACTTCTTTCCTAATTATAATAACATCCCTCTTTCACAGGAACCTTGCTCCAAAGGAAGTTTGAGGTAGTGACTAATCACAATGCCCGAGTGAACTTTAGGATGATGGTGCCAACACACATGCACTAAAAACTCTCAAGTTCTCTCTCTTGAGCTAGCACCGTGCCAGTTAAAAGTTTAAAAAGTTAAAATACTACAATAATTTTTGTCTTGAAGGTCATTAGACCATACTTGGAAGCATGTTTTCCCAAATGTTGTACTAATCCTGTCTCATTATGTTTGCAGTTTTTGGTATTGAAGTTTTGTTACTTTCAATGTCTTTTTTTAAGAGGCACTTAAATAAAAGCATCCCCTTTCATTTGGCTGCTTTAGATTGGACATTGGCTTGCATTTTCAACATCTCAAGGAATACAAAATTAGAACAGTGCAAACTATTCAGTGATAAAAATCCATCAATCGGATATCATTTGTATGCAGTGGTCACCACATGAACTAAACTACCTGAATCTGACACTGAAAAGTGAAGCAATACGTTGTCTTTCGAGTCCACCCACGGAAGGAAATAATAAATGTCCTTTGGATCCATATAAAACATGGGTCAGTAACCTGCAGGCCATGGGCCAGATCTGTCCTGCGGAAACACTGGATACGGCCCGTGGATGTGGGGCTTTAGTGGCATTCAGCAGTGGAGGGCTTTGGCCTGCTGCTGGAAGAGGTTGCCTTCCCCTGACATAAAACATCCTAGGCACAGTATAACATAGTGAATCATTCAGAGTGTATCTCGGTGTGCAAAGGGAAACCAAGCTAGCACGCCTGTTTGAGGGATCCGTATGACATTCAGTATTGGTGAACAGTTAAACCTTTTTTGCACAAACATAGAGGTCTCCTACTTATAGCACTGCTGCAGGATAATTTGAAAATCATAATGGTTGCTTTGCTTTGAAGCCACAATTTTATAACAAACTCATCTGCATAAAGGATAGCACTATACACTTCATGTTTGTCATTTTTTCCTTTTCCCTTGTGTAATCATGGAGAAGGGCTGGGGGAGGGGACGGGGGACAGAGGGAGAGAGGCACAAAAATCTATGTACCTAAATTAGACCAAATGCACAGAGTTTTATTTGACTGGTTTCAGTCTCTTACCATCATCTTCACATTCTTCTAGAGGCTTCTGCTGTTTGTTCAGGCACCGTGGGTCTAGCCAAGATGTTGTTTTAGTATTATGGCTGCAAACCAGAAATGGAAACATGACCGGTGTTAATAAATGAGAACTATAGGGTCAGCTCCACTGAAGGCATCTTTTTGATTCAGAAGAAATAGAATCACAATTTTGTTTCAGCAGGTTCGGAGAATTGTATACACATATATACATAGCTACACACACACACACACACACACACACACACACACACACACACACACAATGAACTAAAATATATTTATATATATAAATATTTGATATAGATATCTATATATCAATATTTATCTAGATATAGATATATAGAGATAGGATTATATATATCTATCTAGTTAGATAAATCAATATATCTATCTATCTATATAAATAAAGATCTATATAGATATAGATGGCTAGATATCTATATTAGATACTAATATATCTCTATATAGATATAGATGGCTAGATATCTATGTTAGATACTAATATATCTCTATATAGATATAGATGGCTAGATATCTATATCTATATCTATATATATTAGATATCTAGCCATCTATAGCTATATATAGGTAGATATATCTATATAGATATCTATACAGATACATAGCTCTAGATATCCATATAGACAGATAGCTCTAGATAGATAGATAGATAGATAGATCTACCTATATATCTATATTGTCTAGATAGATAGATAGACAGATAGATATTAGCTGGAAAGATTCCTGTGCATGTTGCAGGAGTTACTATGTCATGGATCTGCAAACTTTTTCCACCTGTGGATCACATGTCAGTATGGAGATCATCTCCTGGAACCTGCACCGTCTGACAGGAGCCGGGTACTTTTATTTCTTCTGGACTGATTTGCCCAGCTCCTGCCCCTTATTTCCATAACATGTATAAAACGCATTAGCATTGAGTCAAGCACACACACCGAGACAAGGACAGATCTCTAAGTCAGTTTTAGTGAATAGGGACAGACTTTATAATGCATTAATTCCCCTGCCCGCCCTAATCTTTATGATAAAAGGTTCACCTCATCTTTAAAGACTATTTGGCAGTCCAGGGCCTGAGCTCATTACAAGACTGGGTGTATTATATACCATGCAGCACTCTGCATCGCAGAAGTGTTTCAGGAAAATGAAAGGAGAGGGACTAAGTCACCCTCAAGACATAACTGAGGGTTGAATGCCATGTGGGAGAAAATAATGACCCCCCTTAGTGTGAGTGGAGGTACACCAGGTAAGATGTTGTGCAGCGTTCCTGACCACGGGCTGTTTTACAAACCAGTGCAGCTCCTGACATGATTCAGATACCTGTGGGGAATGGCCAAATGGACAGCAATGTAAGGTCCTTGTGAGCAGCAAGGGCCCCACAGCACCCAATGCTTCCCACCCTGGTCTTTCCCCTACCTTATGTCTGGGATTGTAGCCTGTGCAGTAGAGAGGGGTATTCTCTTCTAGGCAGACCCAGGAATCCCTCCCTGGTAACACCTGAGGAAGGGTGCTTGTGCCCAAAGTCTTGCAATTAAATAATTTTTTTTTTTGCAAAAATCTAGTCGGTCTAATAAAAGATATCATCTCTAGCATGAGCTCGCATCCCTGGTAACTTCACTTCTAGCCATTGTAGGGCCATTCTCACTACCACCCTTTAGCAAGACTCTTCTAAATCACAGCCAGACCGGAGCATGTCTACAACATGCAGGAGATGCTCAACGGGTTCGAGTTAACATGCTATCCCAAGTACTAGGCCAAGGGAAAGGCTTCGTACCTGGGTGCACTATATTCAGTCTGCAGACAGAGGTCCTCAGTACCCAGTCCTGCACTGTGCAAGCCTTCAGAACCAAAATATCCTTTTCTTTGCCCAAACCCTGCTTAGCCAGCTATGGCTTTAGCCTTCAGTATCAAGCACCATTTGAACGCTAATGACTAGCTAAATGCTGTGTGAAGACTCCCTCCCACCAACCCATTCTGTTGATTAAACTGCTCACGTCTGAATAAGTCTATTTAAGTACAATCAGAGCATATTATTTATGGCCTGAAAAAGAAATCAATATTAGTAGCACTCGAAGACTGCCAACAGCCTAACGCGGTCATTAAAAAAAAAAAAAACACCCAAAAAACTCCACATCATCATCATGTCCTTTTGATTCTTTCAAAGACCTCGTGCCAAGTTTTGCTGTGAGTTATGCCTCGCACATTAGTACTGAATTGTGCTCCTGTCTTTGATGAGTAGAGCGGGATGCTAGCTCCGTGGTTGTGCCACAGGCTGAACCTGCAAGAGGAGGGATTTTTCCTCCCATCTCAATACATGCACGCAGGCAGGCTCCTGAACTCAGCTCTCAGGTAATTAGGAGCTTTCATCCCAGCCTAGAAAATAACTGACCTGTTGATCTTGAACCTCTGATCTTTTTCTTTTTAAACTGCTTGCTGATCTTGAAACTATGATTGCATTCCTTGATTGTGCTATTAACAGAGTCCAACTCCCTTTCTGTAACCCACAATCCCTCATCAAGTCTAGTGAATCCAAATGTCTCTGAAGTCTGGAAAAGTTTGGATGTAGATGCAATCACTAGATGAGTGTGTAGGAGGAGTATCACAACAACAGTTTATAACCAGCAAGGATATTTTTTGCTCTGATATGCAACTGTGCATAGGAAATACACATGCAGACACCATCTCTGTATCTCCAGGGTTACCCATAGAGGGGAGGGAGGGAGAGGGAGAAAAAAAAATGAGAACAAGAAAAAGATATGCTTTACTCTATAAAATAGACTTCTCCATTCTCGGTATAGGCCATCTCCCAATTTTCAGGTAGAGGACCTAGGTTATCCTCTGCAGGAGGTAGGTATTGGGGGAGGTTCTGAGATGGGTCCGTGGTGGGAACGGTGGTGAGGCTATTATTCACAGGTTGCGGTGCTGTCTCTCTTACGCTCTGCGTATTGTGCTCGTCTGGGTTGCCCGAGTCTGCTGCAGAACAACAGAAATAGAAAGCGTTAATGAGATGCTCCCACATTTTTCTGGCCTGTTCATTTCTTCATGCCTTTGGTTTGAGTTCCCAAACACTTGCTTCACTCTGAATGCATAGGGCCCTGAGAAAAGAGGCTGCCAAGTTGTCCCGCTATTCCTTCCCAACCCCAATCCTTCGAACTGCTGC